TTAGTACTATATGAGAGTATATTTCAGTACTTAGTGGTGTGCCGTGGGATTTTTTTACTGATCAAAACTGTGCCGTGGCTAAAAAAAGGTTGTGAAACACTGTACTAGATTGTGTGTGTTACGAGGGATGCTGTAGCGGAGAGTGCCTTTTTCTTTTAATACTGCTTTTTACCCCTGTTTTTGTACAGCAAGGGAGGTGAGGGAAGTTTAGGGGAATGTAACATAGCGAAAACTATCATAATTTATGAACGCTGCTAATCACCCTGCTGAAAAAAATAATAATTAACCCACCCGAGGGTCGTTTGCTGATCTGGTTTCCACTGATCAAGCAGGTCTCTTTTAATGGTTTAGAGGAGGTTTAGGACAATTGTCAGCTGGGAGATCAACTAAACTGTCTTAACACATCACCTGCTTTAATCAGTCTTGTTTGAGCAGAATGCTACCGTAGATGCAAACTCATCAGGTGCGAAAAGGGTGACAAAGATGTAATATTAATTTTTAGATGTAATATTTAACATTGTTTTAAACTCTAGAGTTGTGCAGTAAGAGTTGCATTAAAGACATTTCTCATTTTCATTCATGGAGATCACATGGAAAATGAGCCGGATGATTTCTGCCACATGATGGAAAACAAACACTTTTAAAATGAAAATGACGTGATATTACCACTATAACCAAAAGAGCTCATCTGCCATTTTCACACCCTGATTTTTGATATTGAACTTTGCTTCAAATTGTAAATGGATTGCATACAAAAAGTGAGCAAACTCCTGTTATAATCAATGAATGTAACTACACTAGGGCTGTGCAATTAATCACATGCGATTGTCATGCGAATCTCGTCAGTAAAGCCGGTTCCGTGATTAGTAGTAAATCTCCATCACCTGCTTTCAGATGGAGTGGCATTTACTACACAGAGCCGTAATTCACTGACAAGCTAGGCAATATCGCGTTCATAACTGCAGATTGAATCGCCTGCGATAATGAACGTGATATTGCCTAATTGTCAGAGAACTACCTATTTTGGATTCAAAATGGCAAATTTCACGAAAAGGTGACAAGTTTGCATCCCTGGAGATCCTCAGTGTTTTTGTAACTAAACAGCTTTGGTATACCGAACTAACAGGGAACGTTCTCACAACATTTTTTATAAGTCATAAATGTTAGGACAAAACCTTCTTAAAGTACTGTTTATCGAATGTTCATATAACTTTATTAATATTTGATTCTCATAATGTTGAGAGAAAACATTCAGAGATCAATATTCTCGAAATGTCCGTATGTTATTTGTACTTGATGAATGTTGTGAAAAACGTAACCTTTGAATAACGTTATAATCACAAGAAAACTGGGCATTTTAACATTCTTCGGATATTAAAAATAAGGAAGCGGCTATTTGCATTAAGTGAAAATAGCATATTTTCTTAGCAATAGATGCTATCTACACTAAGTGCAAATAGCAGTATTTTTAACAATATGCAATTTACACTAAGTGCAGATAGCGATAGATTCTATTTACACTGTTAAAATAGCAGGATTTTCTGCTATTTATACTACTTATTGCAAATAGTGGCAATTATCTGCACCTCAGTATTATAGTACATTATAAAACAGTATGCAGTAATAACATATTGTGTGTAAATTTATCATTTTAATTCAAATTATTAAATGGATGCCACCTTATTGGGACAATAAAGCCCTCCCTACACCTACCTGATACTTTATTTTCAACTTTTTGATTATTTCCTTCATTTTTATTGTAAATAAATGCCATTCCGATGTGATATGAGATCTGAAAAGGGAGAAAAAAAAGTTCGGTAAAAGGCGGATTCGAACCCGGGTCGATGGCGTCAAAAAATCTACATTACGCGCTTTACCATCAACACCACTGGAACTGATGATTGTCAGACATCTTTTATTGTGTTGACCATCCTTATCACATGTTTGTGGGTGGAGCTAGTGTAAATAGACACTCCGTAAAAATAAACGTTCAAATAATGTTATACTTTGGGTGAAACTAAAGTTGTAAGAAACATGCCGAAACAATGTTCCCACCACCACAGTTTTTTAACCTAAAATGTTGCTTGGTAGTTAACGATTCTGATTTGATGTGGACTTTGTGCGTTTTCACACCGGCTGACTCTCGTTCTGTGTTTTAGCTCTGTTAAATGCCTCGGCTGGGTTCAGTGTTGGTTTGCGTGAGAGTGTTCGGAGAGACTCTGGCACTGGCACACATGACGGAGCCATGACTCCAGCTCATTTACCGCTCAGGTGAGGTTTGTTTTGACTCGGACCACCCTCATTATGTCATTTAGCCGTGGCGTATTGCTTTCTGCACTTACACTCTGTCACCCTGCGCTGGGAAGCTGGAGCCCAATTCACGCCCGGCATTTATCATTCCAGCCGCGCCGTCAAACACGCGAGCCATTCCAGTTACATTTCCAAACAAGAGTGCGCTTTGTGCTGGAAATTTGATCTCGCATTTCTGTATGTTCAAGCGAAAATTATAAATGATGTAGAACCAAAGCCACCCAATCTAATGAGATGAACTAATGCTATCAGAAATTTCCCACTAAAGTCGTAATTATGACTTTCTCGCATCAGACACTGGGTTTGTTTTTGCCTGTTAAATCTCATCGGAGCCAAAAAAGTATTGCATATATTTAGATATTGGATTCATAATCTCCAACAGCTTTTGAATAAATCGTAACATCACATTCGTTTACAACCATATAAACATTCACCACGCAATCTAGTCAAATAAATGCCGTGTGAAATGCATACACTATGCATTAAATGGTTATTGAGTTATGTAAATATACATGACCGTAACAGCAAGAGGAAGCAATGCAAACGTGGGAAAAATGAATAAAACTTAAGTTTGTGTCCCGATGAATCAAAAACTCGGTTTCTGGGTTATTCCTGGTGTTTAGTGGCTTCTGTGTCCCTGGTAAAGATCATGACCTCATTTTTTAAAAACTCATTTTAAACAAGTTCATTTTTCCTCAACAGGGTGGACATTTTTGGCCTTCCATTTCATAGATTTTGTTTCATAAATACTTGCATTTATTGGCCTGATCTCGACCTGAATCTTTTTTTTTATATATATATATATATATATTTTTTTTTTACATCTCCCATCACAAAGTTGTTTTGAAAATTGGATTTGATTTTCAACATTTTAAGATGCCTAAAATGCACTGAATACCATGAAGGACCGAAATATGTGACTTTAGAAGCTGTTTATGTCTGATTTCCGACTAGAAAACTCTCTCTTCTGACTAGCTCCTCTTTCATGAGTCACTTTGGGGAAAAAGCGTCTTCTAAATGCGTGATTGTAAATGTATTCATGATAATTACAAATTACATAAATGCTGTGCACTTGAATGTAAGATGTTCTTGGACATTTTTTTTGTCTTCCATTTCATAGATTTTGTTTCTAACATTTTTCCAAAAATAACTTCTCAAGCGTTTACCCCAAACACGATCACAAGGAGTTGTTTTAAAAGGCAAAAAAAGTTGCTTCTGAAAGGCACAGAATGCCAAAAATGACACAAATATGTGACTTCAGAGGCTTTTTATATCCAATTTCTGACTAGTTCCTCTATCACGAGTCACTTTGGGGGAAAAAGCATCTGCTAAATGCATGATTGTAAATGCTTGGATTTTGCCAAAAATAATTTCTCAAGCATTTCTCCCAATCATGATTACAAAGAAGCTGTTTTGAAAAATGTTACGATGTCCAAAATGGACCCAAATATATGACTTCAGAGGCTGTTTGTCTATTTCCAACTGGTTCCTCTTTCATAAATCGCATTGGAAAAACCCATAAGCTGAATGCATGACTGTCGGTGTATTTATGATGGTTTTGATGGCATAAATGCGGAGCACTTGCCTGTAGGATGTTCTTGGGCAGGTTTGCTAAGTTCTCCAGTACGCTGACGCTGTACGGTGAGAGCTCAAACACAGGCGTGCAGTCGTTTACATCCAAAAGCACGATGTTAACGGTGGCGCGATCCACTCGAGGGCTGCTGCTGCGATCCGCCGCCTGCACCAGCAGAGAATACGCCGAGCGCGTCTCGCGATCCAGCAGCTTCGCCACAGAAATCACGCCCGTCACCGAGTCGATCCGGAAGTCCGAGTTAGCGTTCCCGCCGGCGATGGAGAAGTGTATCTGGCCGTTGGTTCCCTCGTCGGCGTCGCTGGCGAACACCTGCAGGACATCGGCGCCGCTGAGCGTGTTCTCCTCGATCTCGATGTCGTAGATGTTCTGCGAGAAGCTAGGCGTGTTGTCGTTCACGTCCAGCACGATCAAAGTGACCTCCATGCTGGAGGAAAGCGGCGGCTCGCCTTTATCCGTGGCCACGATGGTCAGAGAGTAATTGGCCATCTCCTCGCGGTCCAGTTCGCCCAGCAGAACCACGCCGCCGTCGATGTTCCCGACGCTGAATTTATTCCCAAACGGCGCTTTGAGGGAATACTCCACATAGCTGTTGGGGCCGCTGTCGGCGTCGCTCGCCTGCGCTCTGAACACTAGCGTATCCACCGGCGTGTTCTCTTGAATATACGCCGTTGTTTGCGATGTGAATGAAGGCGGGCAGTCGTTGACGTCCAGGAGGATGATAGACACCTGTGTGGTGCTGGTGAAGCGGCTCATGGGAGGCAAGGCCAGGTCGTTCACGGTGATGACCAGGTTATAAAACGACTGCGTCTCTCGGTCCAGAGCGTTCCTGGTCTGTAAGACGCCGGTGTTTGTGATGGAGAACTGTGAGTGCGGGTCTCCTGAAGCGATGGTGTAATGCAGCTCCGCATTCGGCCCTGAAAAACAACACGCATGTTATTATATTTGTGACCCTGGAGCACAAAACCAGTCATAAGGGTCAATTTTTTGAGATTGAGATGCATGCATCATCTGAAAGCTGAATGAATGAGCTTTCCATTCAAGGGTCACACCTCTGCTGTGGTAGAAAACATAAACACTGTTAAAAACGTTGAAAAGTGGCAAAATGCAGAAGATGACTATTGCAAATAACTGAATATCTTAAAAACGACAATATTTGTGTGCATATGGGTTATGATTAATTAAATCATAATGTAAAATTAAAAAAATAAAACAAAAACCATTAAAGAAACACTTATTTTATTATTATTTTATACAAATTATTTGTTAACCTGCATGTCATGTGACAATCAAGGTTGTTATAAACTAAAACTAACATAAACTGAAATAAAATAAAAATATTAGATGAAAAACTTTTTAACATTATTTTAGCATCTCTAAAATACTTTTTATTAATATTTTGAATCAGATTTAATTTTTTATAGTTTTTGTTGTCATTTTAATAGTTTGTTCATTTTTATTTTAGTTTTAGATATTTTAGCATATCAAGTTAAACTAAATTAAAATGAGAAATGTTGCCTTGGCAACTAGCTAAAATAAAGTTTAAATATTTTAGTTTATTACAAGTAATGAAAACTTTTCTTTTTTTTATGGTTATATTTTAGTTTCAGTTTTAGTTTTGTTTAAATATAATAACTCTTAAACTAAGCCAAAATTAGAAACTGAAATAAACTGAGTCTCTAAAATTGCTAACTGGAAATACATACAAACTAAAACTAAAATAAAATAAACGTGAATTAAACCTAAATATAAATAAAAATGATATAAAAATACACACACATAAAAATAATAATTAAAAACATAAAAATGTAACAAAAAAAAAACCTATTTCAAAACATTACAATATTACATATTCAACTAAATATTAAATATAAATACAATTATTAAATATTCAAGTAAATAAGTTCGGCTGACAAAAAAAGTTTGGGAGTCTCAACATCTGAGCATTGTGTTGCGAGTCGGTTATTAAACAAACTTTGATTGTAAAACAGCACAGATTCTTTGTGCAAAATATCTGCTCTGCTTCCTTTTATTAATTTTGATATGACCCAGACATGATTTAGTCAGATTCATCCAAACACTGCCTGTACTAAACTAACCGCAGTCTCTACTAGACGACTAGCAGGAGTGTAAAATATGCTGAAATATGCTGAAATTAAATAAACAAAGGTAATGTTTTTAAAAACAATTACATTTAATAGAGTAAGGCATTTCATGCTATAATATTAGCATTGGTCAACGTTATTACATTGAAATATGATATTAAATGAATACATGTAATTTAATGTTGTAGAAAACTGCAAAAATATTGTTAAAATCATTCAAAATGTGGCAAAATATAGAAAAGTACTACTGCAAATAATCGTGTGTGTGTATATATATATTTAATTAAATACAATAAATAGTATTTTATGCTATAATATTAGCATTTGTCAACATTCTTACATTAAAATGCAATTTTAAATTAAGGTAATTTATTGTTGTAGAAAACAACGTAAATGTTATTAAATCATTAAAGAAGGGCAAAATATAGAAAAACATTTAGGAAAAAATAAATTTAAATTGAAAAAAATTCAATTATTTGTATGCATTTCATTCAGAACAGAAAATTAACAAAAAAAAAAATTTTTTTTTATAATTGAAAGACAAACCGCAAACTAACTTAACTAATCAACCTGAATTTGAATTAAAGTACTAAAAAGGAAGCATAATTGTACATATTTTATACATTTTTATAAATACAAAAAGTATTAAAAGGATTTTAATCTAATTAACATTACACAAAAATATTAGGTAAAACTATGTATTTTTATGTCCATTAGAGCAGGGTTTCCCAAACTGAGGTTTGCGAGTTGATTAAAAAAAACTAATAATTAATTAAATAATAAATTAATTAAAATTTAAAAATTAAATAATACAACAAAATATTTACATAATAAAATAAAATAACAAAAAAATAAAACTTGTAACTGTGGTTTGCAAGTTGAAGAAAAACTAATAATTAAATCATAAAATACAATTACAACAAACTATAAATGTGTTGTTTGATTACTGAAAAAGTAACTCAAAATCTCAGGGGAGTTTCAAGTAAATATTTTAGGCTTGTATTGTGTTATTCAGACCATAAACACAAGCGTAATATCATATGTTTTGATGAAATGAAATGCGAACAGCTCAGGCGGATCTCAGCATTCATACAGTGAATCATGAGTGAGATCTCAGAGGTGTTTACCGTCGTCGGTGTCTGTGGCGCTCACGCTCAGGACGGTCGCTCCGGGACTCACGCTCTCCAGGACCGAGCCGCTGTAGCCCGAGCTGCTGAAGCGCGGCGGGTTATCGTTCATATCCAGCAGGTTGAAGTAGACTCCTAC